TTGAATGGAATCCCAAAATCTCTGTAGATGTTCATTGAAATGAAAAATAAACAACCTAAATTAAAAAAATAAAATAAAAAGTGTATTCTTAAAATTAAAAAAATATATATTACTTTTAAACTATTATATTGAAGAGTTTTATATTGAGGACAACAGTTGTGTTGTCACCCCTACTGCTACCCCACAAAGAATTAACTGAGATAGGCCAGGATTCTCAGTATAATGTAACTCTCCTAACTTCTAAGGTGTTAATGAGGGAGTTATGTCATGCAGGCATTTCCCCCTAATGCGATGATCTGAGCTGTGGTGAGGGGGTCAAGTGGAATGCAACACCCTTCACTGCTCACTGTGATGATCTGATGAAAGGGGAATTTTCTGGGGTGTGGCCCATAACATCTCCTGTCTCCTGGGAGGTAAACAGAGGGAGAAAGCAGATGCAGGGAGAGTCCCTCAGGACCACCTAGAAAGGAGAGGAGTGCAGGTCCCGGTCCTGGAAAGCCCTGGGCACAGGGAAGAGGGATCTCAAAGGAGCGCCAGATCTACAGATGCTCAAAGGTACACGCTTTCTCCTCTAGAACTGGCTTCGGGCAGAGCCAGCACCCTACCCAGTACAATGGACTGACACAGTGACTGTGACAAACTGATGTGAGCAGGTGGGAGATTGTGAGAGAGCACAGGGTTCAAGGCCCAAGGTTGTGTTCACAGGGCCGCAATGATAGTCTTCTCGACAGCACCTGACAGGAAGTTTAAGAAGTTCCCACTTATGAGAAGACTGGACAAAACATTTGGTCTCAAGACTTTTACATTCATTCATCATTCATTCATTCATTTCTTATTAAGTAGGTTTCCTGGGGTGGACACTGGGAAGTTTGGACAGGCAGAGCCTCTCCCAGGAGCTGTAAAAATTCACCCCCAACCTCTAAACAGGGCATCTGAAGCTGCAGGATTGTGGCGTTAAATTTTCAGATTCTCCTCCTACATTCTTGGCTCCTATTTTTGAGGCAGATCCTGCCCCCTAGCGGATGACAGCAGAGACTCCCCATGTGGGTGACTCATTCAAGTTCATCTTTTAGAAAGTGAGGTTTTAAAAGTAGGCAGGGTGGTATCGTAGGTCAGTAGGCTTGTCCTGCTTCGTTTGTGGTTGGTGTGTTTGCGCCAGGCAAGGCAGGCGACCAGTGTGTGGGATGATGGAAAGGGTCATGTGTAATCAACACTTTTGTGAAGTCATTTCCGCGTGGAGGTCTGTGGAGCTCCAGCATCAGGATCCCCTCAGAAGAGCTGGTAGAGAAAGTGCAGACTCCAGGGTTACCCAGCCCTCAGAACGTGCCTCTCTCAGCTGAGCCCGAAAACAGTGTCCAACAAGCTCCTAGGGCTGCCGTGTGGACACCAGCTGTGTGCATCTCACTGGTCGGCCACCGAGGACACCGCTCACCCTGTTGTGAGGCCACCCTCACCACTTGCCGGTGCCTCTTACTGTTGTTGTTGTTGTTGTGAGATGTTGTCAAGCTGGTGCCCGCTCACAGCGACCCTACGAGCAACAACAGTGTGAACCCCTGATGGATCCTGTGTCACCCTCACAATCTCCGTGCTGAATGTCATTGCTACGCTCACTGTGCCAATCAGCCCAATTATTGAAGGTCTTCCTTTTTTCCCCACTACTTTTTTAAAAAAAATTTCATTATTATTTTTTTGTGTGTACCGTCAAATAGGATCTGACAGGAGGAGATTGCCCCTCCTTCTCCAGCAGAACATCTGGTGGATTCGAACTGTGTACTTCTGGGATTTCAGTGCAGCTTCTTGCCATTAGGCCACCAGAGCTCCCCTTTTCCCACTACTTTTCAAAAACACTCTACTTTTCCAAACATTATGTCCTTCTTCCGGGACTGGCCCTTACTAATAACATGTCCAAAGTCTCAGGCAAGCTCTCCCCATCTTCGCACATAAGCAGCACCCTGACTGCTCTTCTTCAAGATCAATTTGTCTTCTGTCAGAACCAAACGGAGTTTCATCGGTAAAGGTCCTGTGCCGTACAGCCTAAAATACAGAGAAAGTCACCAAATCCAGCGCACTGCTCTTCAGTGGATTCCACATCCCAGCCATCCTACGGGCTACAGCTCAGAACAGAGCTGACCCGTTGACTTGCTGAGGCTGGAAACCTTTGCCAGAACATCGCTTCCTCTTTCTCCTGCAGAGCCGCGGGTGGACTTAAACTGCTGACCTTCCATTTCCAGCCCAAGGCTTAATTCATTGAGCTACCGGGGCTTCTACAGTGCAGGTTAATAAGTACTCGGATTTCTCATTGTTTCTGTTGGGGACTGTTGAGAAAAAGATGACTCACAGGAACCCGACGATCAACCTGAATCCTCTCCTATCCCCATCACCTCCGATACACTCGAGCCTGTTGCTGCAGTCACCGTGTCCGTCCGTCTCATTGGGGGTCTTCCTCTCTTTCGCTGACCCTCTGCTTTTCCAAGCATGGAAAAACCTCTTCCAGCAACGTGTCCAAAGTATGAGAGATGAGACTTCGCCATCCTTGCCTTCAAGCGCACTCTGGCTGTACCTTTTGTAAGACACATCTGTTGGTTGTGGTGTTGGAGAAGAGTACTTGGACCAGCGCCATGAAATGTCTCGGTTCTATTTGGTGAACCGTGGGGGGAAGAAGCCACAATGTCCAGGCCGAAGTCGGCCCCCGGCTGCGCTGAGAGGACCCCTGGATGGGGTAAATGTCCTCACGTGGGTGAAGTCTTGTGGGGGGGGTTCAGCACCCCACTCTTACTGAAGTGAAGAACGTAGCTGCTTTAGGGGGCGTTGGAAGAGCTCGATGGGACAAAGTGTATACGTCAAGTGTCTAATGGATCAGAAATGCCCAGTCACACCAGCCCATTGGGCCTCAGTTTACCCATTTCATCTACAGCGAGGAGCTCATGTTGATGCCAAAGGGCCCCTCTCTCTGATACCCCAACTGCTACTGCCCCATGTAAATCCCATGCTGGCTCTGTAGGAGGCAGATGCAGCCCAAACCTATTGCCTGCCCCCCACCTTTCTGTACTCCCTTCCTCCCACAATCCTTGGCTTTCAGATCTGAGGTCCTGTGTAACGATTTACAGCCTTAGAAACCCTACTGACTTGTCCTGCTCTGTCCTTCAGATTCAGATGAATCTGACGATTCTGACGCATTCTGTGAATCAGAACTGCCCTGTGACTGTGGGCCTATTGGTTTCCTGTAAGGAACCCTGAGTGCACAAAGGTTAAGTGCTTGGCTGCTAACTGTGAAGTTGGTGGTTCAAATCCACCATCTGTTCCACAGGAGGAAGATGTGGCAATCTCTTTCCATAAAGATTAAGCTTTGGGAGCCCCTTGGGGGCTCAGCTCCGGCCTAGAAGGCTGCGAGGAGTCAGAACTGACTTACTGCCTGTGGCTTGGGTTTAGGTTGGATTATTAAACTTCCCAACCAGCTTCTGTCCAGTCAACCCAGACTCACAGTAACCCCCGTGTGTCACAGGGTAGAACTAATCCCTGGGTGGTATGAATGGTTAACTCATTTATTTGACTGATAACCAAAACTTTGGTGGTCTGGTCTACTCATGGGCTGCCTGACCCTTGACAACTGGGAGTTAGTGAATGAGCACTGCTTTGAGTTGTTGGAATTTGAGCCCTTTGAATTGCCGCAACAGAAAACGAGGTTTCCCAAAGTTTAAATTGCGTGTGAGGGACAGGATGGCGAAGGAGACAAGCACTGCACAGCTGAACAGTCACTTCCTCTTCCTACTGCAGGCCGGGGATGATTGTGAGGCCTGGCGTGCTCTGCAGCTGACAAATGCATCATGGAAAGGGGAACCCTGTTCGGGTATGATGCTGCTGAGGGGCCCTCCTGCTGGTACAGGTTAGGACAGGACTCGGGGTGCTGTGGGATAAATGACAACACAAGGACTCACAGTCATGGCCCCAAGGACACCTACGTGGGAAGAAATTACAGAAAGACCTTGGCCAATCGTAACACTTAGTCAGACATGCAAATGTTCCCCTTAAGGTCATTTTATTGTCTTTTATGGAGACTGATGGAAGAAGGAAACAATCTTAGAGATTCCTCGGGATCTGACATTCTCAGGATTCTGGGAAAAGGAGAGAAAAGCTTGCGTAGATTGGTAGGTCCTTAGTTTGAACCTTCAAGGTCTGCAAGGAAAAAAAAAAGAGAGCCAATGGGGACTTTGTAACAGACGCCACTGCCCCCTAGAGGTGGTGAGGCATAGACCACATGGGTGGACAAGGGGATGACGGTGCCCGCTGGCCGCAGAGAAGACCCCTCCAGGGGTGGGCAGTTTGAAAAAGAATTGAAGTGTAACTTACTTCAGTAAAAGGCCCTGGAGGCATAATACATTTATTTAGCTGTGGTCTGATAGCTAACTGAGACGCCTGCAGTTCGAATCCACCATCTGTTCCCAGTGGGACAGATGGACAGTCCCATCAAGATTTACAGCTTTGGAAATCCAATGGAGGGTTGCCAAGGGCCAGGGTCAATTTCCCTGCAAGGGCTTGGCTATGTCAATGGATTTTCACAGAGGACACACCCACATGGCCACCACACTGAATGATGTTGTTGATTGCCTTTGAGTCGAGCATGATTCATAGTAACCCTTATGAACAAAAGGCCTGAAGCTCCTGTACAACTATTGACATTTATCAAAGTTCATAGAGTTTCCGGAGGCATGTTGTTTAGGAATTGGATACCATTCCTGCTTTCAAGGTAATAAGCAACCCTGTATCTTAAAAAATGTCGTGTTCCCTCCTGGCCAGTGCCCCGGCCTCCCCTGAGCACCACAGAGTAACTGCTCCTCCAGCCTCTAACACCATGAAAGGAACCTGGATGTCGTGAAAACTCCCAGCTCCTCAACCCACCTGAGCATGTGATCACATGATTTGGGGAACCGGTAAAGGCCTGGGTGGTTTTGAGGTGCAGTCTGGGCTGAGAATTGCCTGCTGGCTTGAGGCCAATCTCATCCTCACGGAAGGGGAGAGTCATGGATGGAATTCACAGCTCAGACAGCTATCGCCAGCCCCGCAGACTCTGTCAGTGCTGTCAGATTTTTCTGGAAAGCTGCTTTCAGAAATTAGCTGGACAGTTCAGCTGCCTGGAGGCTGGCACTGCCCACTGTGGGAGGCTGGGCTGGGGCCTCCAGTTAAGCCAGAGGGAGGTAGGTAGGCGTAGGCAGTAGATTCGGTGCACTTGAGGGGGTGTCATGGGCTCTGGTGGCATTAAGAAAGCCTGCCCCTCTGCTAGACCCTTTCCCTGGCCCTAACTACCTTCTGATGTTTCTCAGCTGAATCTGAGGGACCCATGGAAGGCTGTCTGGGCTGGGTTATGGGTATTCATAGCCCTGGCTTTTCATTCTAGAAGGTTCTAAATCATCAGTGGAGGTGGGACAATCACTGAGAGTCTGAGCAAGCTACCTGGATGCCTCCCTAGAGATCTAAGTCCCGTAGTCCTGGAGGGGAAAGGAGAGCGAAGAGGAAACAGGGATGACAGAGGATGAAGGAGGAGGACACACGCACTTGGCTCTTGCAGGACTGTTTGGCCAGCCCGAACTTCTGTATGATCTGGTTGGTCTTGAACTCCTGCTGCTTGCCGTCCGCCAGGGTCTGGGCTCTGATCTCGTACTTCACCAGGCGCTCAGCTCTCGGACTCACTGGGTAGTGCTTGTAGATCTTCGAGTCGGACTCCAAGTCCGCATGCCTGATTCTCTGCAGAGAGAGGAGTCCTTTCAGCTGGAAATGCAACGGATAGTCATACGAGCAGGGACTCAATTCCATAAGCGGAACTGAGTCCCTGGCCATATGACCCTCAACGTGTGACGTGTGCAGAGCAAGAGGACATCTCCCAGAGGTCCCATTTCCTGGGTCACAGCCACAAGGTGCCACTTGAACCCTCTCCATACCCAGACCACTGGACAATGGGCTAAGATTTGTGTGTGTCTCCCCTCACCCCCACTCCCACCACACACACATACACAAATGCTAGTAAATCAAGCTATAGCCCTGGGCACACAACTCCTAACCAAAAAGTCAGCAGTCCAAACCCAGCAGCTGCTTTGTGGGAGAAAGAGGTGGCAATCCGCTTTCATCAAGATTACAGATTTGGAAATACTGTGGCCAGTTCTCCTCGGTGCTTTGGGTCACTCTGAGTCAGAATCACCTCGGTGGGGGTAAACCAACACAGTATTCATCTGAGCTTGCTGATACCTGTTACCAGCTCGTTCATCCAGATTGTGTAGGAAGCTTATAGCACGCCTGAGTCGCTGAAGCCCAAGAAACAGGCCCAAGGGATGGGGGGAGTTCCTCAAGGCCTGTGGTGAGGTGGTGGGAATGCTGACCGGAAACGCTGTTTCTTCGTTCAACATCCATTCACACATCCACTTGGCCAGCCCTGCAGCCGGTTAGCGCTGCCTTCTTGCTGGAGGCAGAGTGGCTAAGTCCCAGCCTGCCAGCCTAAGGGGGCTCTCGCCCGCCACCACTCGGCAGGAAAGATGTGGCCGCCTGCTTCTCCAGGGTACACTCCTAGAAACACTGCGGGCAGTTCAACCCTGTCCTGGGGGACCACAGGGAGTCAGAACTGACTTGACAAACACAAGAGCAAATCGTATTGACTCCTCACCAACTCTGTCCTGCCCCATGCTTGCCCTGAGGGGTCAGTGGGTAAGAGTTCAGCTGGCTGAGAGGTCAGGAGCAGACCCCAGCTGCTTCATGGGTGAGAGGTCAGGAGCAGACCCCAGCTCCTTCATGGGAGGTGCAGCGGTGAGCTTCCATAAAGACTTGCAGCCCTGGAGCCAGCGGGGCCAGGCCAACTCTGCCCTGCTGGGCAGCTGTGCCAGAGTCAGTTCAATGGCAGTGTGATGTTCCAGAGACTGTGCTTGGCAGTGCCAATACAAACACTATATGGTTAACAAAATTACTAAGATAGAGATTCACAAGGAGCATTCGATCTTAGAGGAGAGAGACCTTCAAGCAAGCCCCGAGGAGACACACAAGTTCACGGTCAGTTCTCTTCACCCTCATCATCATCCTCCACAGTTTTATGTGTCAGGCCCTGCTCCCAGGCCCTTGTGTAAATTAATACTCTAATACCACAGCCAATATGGATTGAGCCTCAATGTCAAGAAGACAAAGATTCTCACCACTGGACCAATTGGCAGCATCAGGATGGATGGTGAAGAGATTGAGATTGTTCACAGCTTTAGTTTGCTTGGTTCCACAGTCAACAGTCTTGGCACCAGCAGCCAGGAAATTAAAAGGTGCATTGCCATGGGAAAGTCTTCTGTTAGGGACCTCTCTAAAGTACTCAAGAGCAATGGTGTCTCTCTAGAGACTAAGGTGAGTCTGATATAGGCCATGCTCTTCACAATCACTTGTTATGCATCAGAGAGTTGAACAATGACCAAGGAGGATAGAAGGAGAATTGATGCCTTCGAGCTGTGGTGCTGGAGAAGAGTATTGAGAATACCATGGACTGCTAGGAAAACAAACAGATTTGTCCTGGAAAGGGTTAAGCGGGTGGCTCCTTGGAGGCAAGGATTCTGAGGCTCCGTCTAACATACTTTGGACATGTTGTGAGGAGAGATCGGACCTTGGAGAGGGACATCATGCTTGGGAGGGTGGAGGGACAGCACAGGAGACGAAGGCCCTCTATGAGGTAGATTGATTCAGTGACTGGGATAGTCAGGATGGGAGTGTCAGAGACAGTGTGATTGGCACAGGACAGAGCGGAGTTTAGGGCTGTTGTACGTAGGGGTCGCTATGAGTCTCAAGTGACTTGATGGCACATAACAACAACAACAAATACTACCGCCCAGTGAGACGGCTCTATCCTATTACTCCATCACACAGATGAGAGGCCAACACAGGAAACACCAGGATCACTAAGGTCACGCCCAGGTCTTCTGGTCAACACCTTCATGTCCGCCGAACGTCTGGTAGAACCACTGGAAGAGGCCCTCCCTGTTGACTTCTGCTCTGCTGTCCTGTCCATCACACTACACATGTTCAATTACCTAGTTAGTGAGGTAAGCATGCATTCAGCCGTGCTCGCTTACTAATCTGCAGTGAACACATTGTTTTCAGCACAAGGAAGATTCTGCTTCTGGGTATGGTGGTGTCTGTCTTCTCCCAGCCCACAGCCACTGCCTACAGAGTCAAGCCTTCTTTACTCTGTCAGGGACAGGACATCTAGCATCAAGCATCAAGGCAAGCACGGGCTGACTGTGGGTACTTGTTAGGATGTAGGGAATCCCACTGCGAAACTGCTGACTACGGATTAGCAGGGAAACACGACTCAGCCCACGCTTCCCTTTCTCATGGGTGAGCCGTGATGGGCATTACCTGACACTCTAAGCAAACCCGTGCTCCTTCTTACCTGTTGGGCAGGATTCAGCATCCTTATATTCAAAAGAGGATTAGTTATCAGGTCGGAATTGCAAAAGAATTGAGACCAAGATGCAAGTCTGAAGACTTGGATTTAACCCCAGCATTACAAGAAGAAGCCATCTGAACAGGAAGACCCAGCTTCGAGAGTCTCTTCTGCGAACCGGGTCAGATACACCTGCCTCCTGAGGTGGTTGCAGGAATGCAATGACGTTAAATGATAGAGTTTGGTTTACAACAGGGTCCACACTAATCACTAACTGATGACTAGTTAACTAACAGTAACTCACTATTCATTGACCCTGATGCACAGGGCTCACATTCTGCACGTCTTACCCGCATGTAGAAACTGTAAGAGCTGGCGCCATGCTTGATTCCCTTGAGCTCAAAGAAGAACCCATACAAAGCTATCGTTTCTGAAAGAACTGCAGATTCCTAAATTGTGAAAGACAGAGGGAGAGATGATAAATTCCAAATTCAGAGGCAGGAGACAGCAAATGCTAGTGACAACTGTTGAAGTGACCAGGGAAAATGGGAACTGTTATTGAACAATAAAGGGTTAATCTTGTTCAAAGAAAGGTGCGCTCTGAGCCCTTGGAGTGATCTATCTGATCAAAGGGGTTTTGTTTACGTGGACTTCTCAGGCAATGGTCTAGACTAACAATAATGGCAGCAACCCTGAGTTACGCAGTAACAGCTTGACCTTGGCTGGAGACTAACGTCAGTCAAGTGAGTGGTCAGTTGTTTTCACATGACCATCCCCTATCACTGGACACTGAGGCTCAGGCACACTTCCCCTTTCTGCTGTACCTTGTGGGCACTGTCATACACCATGGCTGGGAGAAGTGCGTGCTGCCCACGATTCCAGGGGAGACGATGCAGGAAGCTCACGCCTGGTCTCTCCTGGACCCTGCCCTGTGTCCTGTGCGTCTCCTTCCCTTTACTGACTTCAGTCTGTGACCTCTCACTGCCATAAACTATAAGTAATAATTTCAGGAGTCCTTCTAGTAAAATCCCTGAACTGAGAGTGGTCTTGAGGATTTTCTGACCCAAAATTCCAGCGGGGAATTTGGGATCATCATAACCAGATTACAGATCATCTTGTCTAGAATCCACCTTTAAAAAGAAATTGGACTTTTCTTAAATGCATAAAATGATTTCAAGATGGGGAAGGCCCCCACATCTGTGTAAGATGTGTAACCCCTCCAGCCAAGCCTCATCTAATGAATTCTGTCTCTAGGAGCTGTGGGAGTACAGAGAAGACACCCACAGTTGCTTCTTTCTCCTGAGCTCCCTCCCGGAGGTAGGAAGTGATGGGCAGCCGCGAACAGAGGCCCTTAACCAGCAAGGGAAGGGGCGTTCCTTCCATCTGGTCCGGTTCTCCACACCTGGGTGAAGATCAGCCCGAAGCGCACAGCCTGGGTGGTGAAGTCCTTTAGGTAGACCATGTCACCCCCGTTTTCAAGCTGAAAGAGAAACACACACAATTCACCCATAGCCTGGTCTCCTGGGGATGGACAGCCCCCCATCCTTATGTCCTTGTTGGCTCTCGGATCCTGCACATCCCCTCCTCCCCAAAAGCTGGTTCTCTCACGGACTTCTACCCTGACACTCACTTGGCCACATGTGTTTACTGAAAACCAACTACACGTTGCATACCGGGCTGAGCGCCTCCAAGCCTCCCACTGGGAAAGTGCCCTTAAAGTCAAGAGCATGGACAGGAGATTGTTGGTGGGAGGGTGCACTGTGGGGAGGGGAGGGACGCAGAGCCAGGAGGATGGGTGACAGGTCAAAGCAGAGAGCTGGGCAGAGTAGGATCAGAAAAGCATAGAAAGGGAGGCAGTCATCTTCTGGAGGTGGCCAGACACAGACTGTCCTCTCTGGTCACCACCACCTTGCTCTGACCTTCATCCACCAGAGAATCCCTGGTCCGTGGAGTCATTATCTGCAGGCAGTTGTGGCCACAGTGGTTGGCACAAAACAATAGGTGTTTGTTGAGCTGACTTAAATTTTAACCAGTGACTCATAAACCTCCAGACGTCAAACACTCCCTGCTACATCTTTACGATGGTAGCATTGGAACCACAAAAAGACTGAGACAGAAGACTGCATGCAGTCTGCACCAACGGTATACAAAGTGGAGAAACGCGACATGGAAAAACTGTCATCTTTGCTAGGAAGCGTGGAAATGCATGTCAAGAAGGGGACGCCACTGTTCTCTTCTCAAAGAGCCGAAATAGGGGGAAATGAAAGTGCCAAAGACTGGTGCCAACGTGCAGAATGCGACTCTCCCAGTGCAGGAAACAGCCCCCACTATGTCACTCCGCACCAAAAACAAAGTGCACATTCTCTTTGTGTAAGACTCACTACTCTTGAGAAACCCCAATAAGAAAGTTATTCCAAATACAGCCACTCTTCCTGCTACTGTACTGCACCATGTGGTGTTTCACAGAGAGTGTCTGGGTGGTTTTTGGTTGTTTTTAGTTTTGTTGGGTGTTGTTTTAGGTAACATGTACCTGTTTGTATTTTTTTTTCTTACTAATTTTAGCTAAAGTTTACAGAGACTTGGGGTTTCCAGTCATTCACTGTTGCATGAGTGTCTGTTTTGACAAACTGAAGGTTGGTGGCAACCCTGTGCCAGGCGAGACTATCAGCGTCATTTCCCCAACAGCTCATTTGGCATCTCTGTGTCATATTTCGGTCATTCTCTCAGTGTCCAAAGTCTCGATAATGCTCCTGCATACTCACTAGGATGATAGTACGAACATTTCTTTGCACAAGGAAACAGAAAAATAAATAAATATATATATATACACACACATAGAGGGTGTTACTGTGTATTGGCTTTACTGCAGTGGGTCTGGAACCCAATCTACAGTATCTCCAAGGTCTGCCTGGATGGTAAAAGAAATCATTATGTGCAAATAAGTTCACTATCACGTCATCTGGAGCAGTTAGTAATTAGAAAGATCCTGAACTTCCTACAGTAGAGGAAGGACAAAGTGACACTGGTTATAAGTCAGTCTCTTAGTGGAAATAGATTATAATAATCAGACAGCACTAGGAAGTGTGTTAGACTAAGGGCAACACCACACACACCCCCTGAAAGGCTATGAATACAATGAGATGTCACTAGTGGCTGTCTTTGGGTGGTGGGTCTGAGGGGGACTCCCTTATCCCCTTTCTTCAATATTTCTGCACTTCCAAAATATGAAATTTACTGCACTGAAACAGATGAGGGAGTGAATAATTTAAAAGCGATATATGATAGGGTATTATGGTTATCACAAGAGTCCACAATTAAGGTTGCATAGTGAAATGTACTTGGGGCGGCGGGAGTGGTGTGGGGGGATTGTGTCCCATGGAGGGAGTGTTTCTTTTACTTTTGAAAGAGAGGAGCGAACTGGGGAGGGTGGGGAGGGAGAGCTGGTCAGGGAGAAAAGTGCAGCAATGATTGAATGGAAATCCAAAATCTCTATAAAGCTCATTAAAATTATTAGAAAAAAATAAAGCTTAAGAAGAAAAAACAAAACAAAAAGTAGATACTACCTCTGTGTTTGTCAGGGGACTCAATATTGGTGGGATGGGCACTCCCCTAGACCCATTTGATAAGTCCCTGGAGATCCTGGGTTCCAGGACAAGGTCCTCTTTCTCCTCCTTTGCCCAGTCGTCCCATTTCCCCCACAGCATATGTCCTGACACTGAAGACCCAGAAGTGTCAAATGAAAACCACAGCCAGCAGAAGCAACGTCAGAAAGGTGATGAATCTGGAGCCTCGCTTCTCTCTGCCCCGGGCACTCACTGCATGGTAGTGGTTTGCCGCGATCCGGAACACCCAGGACTCCGGGAAGAAGTTCATGTGCTTTATCTCCTCCAGATCCTTGCCTTGGGAGACACACGAGGAGAATGTGGGCTTTATTCATAACAGAGCTTCAACAATCACATTTACAGAAGAAAAAGGAGAAAGTCAGGAACAGAGAAGTGGAAGGAAAAGTGTGGGTTTAACGTGGGAGTTGATTGATACAAGACAAAGCCCCACAGAAACACGGTGACTGGGTTCAGAGCCAATTCCTTTCATGCTCCGAATTGTTCTCTTTTAAAACTGCAGACACTATTGTGAACAAAGCCACAATAAACATGGGTGTGCATGTATCTGTTTGGGTGGCAGTTATGGTTTCTTTAGAGTATATTCCCAGTAGTGGAATTGCTGGTTCATATGGTATTTCTATTTGCAACTTTTTGAGAAAGCGCCATACAGCCTTCTATAGTGGTCGCATCATTTTACACTCCCACCAACAGTGAATAAGGGTTCCAGTTTCTCCACAACCTTGCCAGCATTTGTTGTTTGCTGTTCTGTTACATTTTGCTATTCTGACTGGGGTGAGATGATATCTCATAGTTGTTTGGATTTACATCTCTTTTAGAGCTAAGGATTTTGAATATTTCTTCATGTGTTTGTTTACCATCTGAAAGTTTTCTTTAGTGAGGTGTCTGTTCATATCCTGCGTGGAGTCCAGAACGAAGGTTGCATAGTGGAGTGGACTTAGGGGGAGGGATTGAATAACAATTAAAGACTTTTTTTTCCTTTTACTTTACAAAGAGAAAAACAGATTGGGGGAGGGGTGGGCAGGGAGAAAAATGCAAAACTGAATGAATGGAAATCCAAAGTTTCTGTAAACTTTCATTAGAATAAATTAAAAACCCCCCAAACAAACAAACTATAAAACTGCAGACACACAACTTGGAAATGGATGAAGGTGATTCAGTATACCACAGTGGGTGTAATTAATGTCATTGAATTGAGGACGTAAAAATGACTTAAAATAGCAATATCTTATTAAATGCACTTTGCCACAATAAAAATAAATATGCATCTAAACTTCTAGTGGCATGAATGAATGAATCCATTCCAAGTTGGGTCTTTTCTATACTCGCTGCTGTTGTTATATATTGTAGAGACCCATCGTTGACCCTCCATTGGGTTTTCAGAGGCAGTTAATCACGTGGGAGGAGACTGCCCTTCCTTCTCCATATTACAAATTAATATTTTTCGTTATAATACTCCACTTTGAGAGAGAAGACGCACAATAGTCCTGCAAGAAGATCTCACTATATAGAGGGATCCCTGGAGGGTATTTATGAACTTCTCACTCAAAGAGAAGCGATTGATAACCCTCAAAAACTTGTTATGCATCAGAGAGTAGGACAATGACCAAGGAGGATAGAAGGGGAATTGATGCCTTCGAGCTGTGGTGCTGGAGAAGAGTATTGAATGTACCATGGACTGCAAAGTAAACAAACAGATTCATCCTGGAGAGGGTTAAACCAGGCTGCTCCTTGGAGGCAAGGATTCTGAGGCTCCGTCTAACACACTTTGGACATGTTGTAAGGAGGGACTGGTCCTTGGAGAGGGCTATCATGCTTGGGAGAGTGGAGGGACGGCGCAGGAGGGGAAGGCCCTCTATGAGGTGGGTTGATTCAGTGACTGGGATAATTGGGATGGGAGTGTCAGAGACAGTGCGATTGGCACAGGACAGAATGGAGTTTAGGGCTGTTGTACACAGGGTCACTATGAGTTGCAAGTGCAAGCGACTCGACGGCACATAACAACAACAACAACATTAATAAGATAAAGGAATACGATGCACAATGCACATTCATCTAATTTTTATTTCTTTCTTATGTGGCAAAATGATAATTGCTTCTGTTCTCCTTTTTCCCCCCTCTCCAGGAAGCCACAGGAGTGGCTAAGATATGTGGAACTCAAATGGAGCATTAAAGAACACACAACTCCAAGCCCACTACTTCCTGGCTACAGGTCCTGTCTGGAAAGGAAGGTGTGAGATTGGAAAGTTGGAATGTCTGAAACTAACTTGGGGCGGGCTTGAGGGGGGAGCGGGGTCCTAGTGCCCTTGACCATCCTGGCTTCCAGACCGATTGAACAAGTCAGACTCACTGGATACCCAAAATGACTTTGAAAAATGCCTCCAATATCCTTGCAGACACTAAGATGTCCGGGATGGCCTTCTGAGATGTCCCAATATTCCCTTTCCAGATCAAAGCTCCCTTTCCAGGAAACAGAAAATATATATATATACTTAGAGTGTGTTATTGTGTATTGGCTTTATTGCAGTGGGTCTGGAACCCAGTCTACAGTATCTCCAAGGTCTGCCTGGATGGTAAAAGAAATCATTATGTGCAAACAAGTTCACTACCATGTCATCTGGAGCAGTTAGTAATTAGAAAGATCTTGAACTTCCTACAGTAGAGGAGGGACAAAGTGACACTGGTTATAAGCCAGTCTCTTGGTGGAAAGAGATCATAATAATCATAGACAGCACTAGGAAGCTAGTTCAGAGCACGAGACTGAAGGCGCACAGCCCGTGTCAGCACGGCTGAGCCTGACTTCTCTCTCGCACTGCAGCTCTGTTCTGCTTCTCATTACACGCAGCACCATGGGTCAGGGAAAACCCTGCCTACTCCCACTCTACAGACAAGAAAACTGAGGCCAAGAGGCTAAGCAACTTTTCTAACACCCACGGCTGGGAAGGGGCAGCTCTGCACTCATTTCTTTTGGAGAAACATCTGGTGGGGCCCACCTGGGACAGGCTGTGTGGTGAGGTCACACTTGTACACAGACTAGGACTCACCTTTGGTGATGCTGTGCAGACGTACGCAGAGGAAGAGTGGCATCAAGTTCATTCTCATGTCGATGTCCAGTAGGATGCACGTCCTGGTAAAGTTTGGCGGAGGCATTGAGGAGGAAATGGCTTCTGAAAACGCCCGTGTGACTTTCCCCACGGAGTTCCTGTGCGGTGCAAATGGTTAGTATGTTAATCCTGTTAATCCCAGGGTTGGTATTTCAAGTACACTCGTAAGAAAGGCCTGATGATCTGTTGAAACCCCCACACCCTCCTGAAAAAAAAAATCCCAACACTAAAGTCAGACATTGAAATTCCCAGGGAGCACAGCTGCACCCCGACACAGATGGGTCACCGTGAGTTGAGACTGACTCAGTGGTGACTAGTAGGTAAGCCAATGAGAGCCAGGGAGACGAGGGCCTTCAGCAGCTGAGGGTGGAGGGCACAGCTTTCTCGGGGTGCACTGGGTACATGGAAGTGCAGGACGGCTTAGGTAACTGTGGAGTCCAACCCCCCAAATTATAATAGGACAAACTCTTGCTCTCTGCTGTGCACCCAGTACACAGGAGATGACAGCTGGGAACAAAAGTTACTTTATCAAGGATTTGAGCTTGTGTCTTCTCACTCGAGTCTCCTAGAGTCCACTGGGGTCAACTGGGAAACAAACATCAGCTTCATTTTTCAGATGGAGGAACAGGTGCAGCCCAGACTTGAACCCAGGACTTCTGAGCCAGTAAAAGATGTTTGCTCATGGGATGAGTGCGCAGCCGACTTTAGCGGTGAGTGTGCCCTCAGCTCTGCTCCAGTCAGTGGTCATAGTGGACACTGTTCATTTCCAAGCATGGGGGAGGTCAGAGCCAGGGCGAGAAGGTCACCACTGATGAGACACACAGACACGCACACACCACCCTTGTTTTGAACGTCCCTCCATAAGATGGTCACTTCCCACCAGTGAGGACAACAGGGCACCATTCTCCCTTCAGGGTCCTTTGGAAATGCAAAGTCACTCCCTTGAGGCGAGCCTGCCAGCGGCCCTAGAGATGATTTTTTCCATGAATCAAACATCAGGTCCTTCTGGCCAAGCCAGGACTGGCCTCATGCCTACTGCCCTGCCCAGAGCCACTTTGTCCTCACAAAAGTGGGGGTTCCCGGGACCTCAGTAGCATTTCTCCATCTCAGATGTCCCAGGACACAGGCCTGGGGGTGGTGCAGGGGAGCGGTGGGAGGGGATGTGAGAAGGGAAGGAAGAGGTACATGCTGATTTGATTATATTATTGATTACTGTGTGCTGGGCTCTGAGGGCTGCCAATCAGAGACCAAGAAAGATACTTGCAGGGGTGTGATATACCCGAGAACTAGCCCTCCATTGCTGAGGGCAAGCAGAGCTGGGGGCGGGGGCCACAGTGTTCTTGGAGAACACAGATCTGAGCCGGACAAACGATGGCTTTGCACACAAGGTCCATCCACGAGTCTCCTTTCACAGGGCGCTCTGAGGCTGCTTGAGGGGAACCTTCTAGAAGTTCCTCAGGAGACCTCCTCCCACAGGCCATTCAGGGTCTCCTCATTCTGCAGCCCTTTCGAGGAGTCACCTCCTTCCTTCCATTCTCTCAGGAGCTGTGGCATCACAACCAGGCAAGAGGAGATGGCAGGAGGGAAGAGGCCGAGCTAGGGGAATCCTCATCTAGGGAGTGCTCTGGACATGACCCAGAACTCTGGGATAGTTCCCACAGTTCCAGCTAGCCTTAACTGGCATGGTGGGTCACACAGTCAGGTCTGCCCCACCGGGAGAGGACAGCGCTGGACAGAAGCATTTCCCTTGCAGCCCAAAAGCCACAAGTCCTGACTCTCTTGCTGCTTGGTGTGAGAAACTGCCAAGGAAGGAGCTAAAATCACAATTTTTCCCTTTGTGAGCCTCTCGGGCCTTAGGACCATGAGCCAGGACCTCTCCAGACTGACCCTCCTCACCCTGGGATCCAGGAAGAGCTTTGTTGAGACAGGCAAGTAGTCATGATGGCCAGAGGGCAGTGGCATTGACAGCCACCATCATGGCTGTCAAACCGAGGTCATACATGGATTATCATCCAACCACTCCAGCCTCCAGGCCTGGGACCTGGCTCCAGACAGATCAGATTCAGTCTTGTATCTACACTTCTTTCAGCTTCGATTTCCTTCTCTGCCAGGGGGTGCAATGACCACGATTTCCCCGAGAGGGGACCTGACAGGGGAAGGTGACGAGTGCCTGGGCAGTACTTGGGACAAGAAACAGGAAGCCCTTGGTACCCAGTAGCTGCTGTTACCACAGTTTCTTGTAGTTACCACCACTGATCATCCAATTTGTTCAGGGAAAGAGCCTTGGACTTTACGCATGGGACTGTTCTAGGAGGCCTTTCTATCACCTAAGACACAAACCCCCTCAAGGGAAGAACCTGGTGGCATCGGCTGCTGATTTTCCAGACGTTTGAAGGATTCGAAGGACATGGTCCAACCCTAAATAACCCTGGTGGTGCAGTGGCTAAACACTTGAGTCTTGTGTGTGTGTGTGTTTATTAATTTTAATGAACATTTACAGATATTTTGGATTTCCACTCATTCATTATTGTACTTTTTTCTATACCCCCCTCCCAGTTCTCCTCTCTTTGAAAAGCAAAAGATAAACTTCTTCATTGGTATACAATCCCCCCATCCTGAATGCATTCCCTTATGCAACCTTAATTCTGGATTCCTGTGATAATCTCAGTCTTACCCCAACCCTGATGTTAGTCCTGTTTTACAACAGTGGAACTATGAAGAATTTGTCTTTTTGTGACTGAGATATTTCAATCAGCAAAATATCCTCCAAGGTCACCCATTTTGAATAATATTGCACGAGTTCCTTGTTTTTCAATGCAGCGTAGTATTTCATTGTGTCAATGTACCACAGCTTCTCTATCCATTCGTTCCTTGATGGGCACTTAGGTTGTTTGCACTTGACTCTTAAATGAAAGATCAGAGGTTCAAATCTCCCTTCTGACCTGCAGGAGGACAAAGAGGTAGGCTGCTTCTGTAAAGAATACAGCCTTGACTTTGCACCATGGGACTGTGAGGAGTTGGAATGAACTGCGGCAGTGGGTTTGGTTTGGGGCCAACCCCCTACAGTCAGGTCCGCCGTCCCTAGAGCTGAGCGAGCTCAGTTGTCACGGCCAGGATTCTGGTTGATCCAGCCCAGCACGGCGTCCATCTGGTAACCTCAGCTGTCTGGGTGTGGAGGCCTCTGTTGCTCTTTGGCCCAACAATGAGCTCATGCTCCTGATGGCATATAAACCAGGAGAAGCAGCTGCTAGGTCTCAGACTTATTCTGGAGACTCTGTTGATGGACCTAAAGGCTGATGTGACCAAGCTGCGCTCAGGGCTGACTGAGCTCTGTCTGAAGCTCTATTTGAGTTCAACACTCAACACTTACTCCTCTGGGAAAATCGTCAGGCCTTGGTCTTTGCCTTCTGAAGCTGATAAAGAAACCCTTGGGACTGTTGGTATCTGTTCTTCCAAAGCAAACAAGGAAGAAGGAAACTGGAGACTCAAAGAAGCAGCTAGTATACAGAACCAGGGGTCTATGTGAACCATGATTTCACCCACCCTGAGACCAGCAGAACTAGATGGTGCCCGGCAACCATCACCAGGCTTTCAAATCAGGGCCACAGGGTATGTGAAACAGGGCCTCACATTCCTAAAAAGGAAAACAAAACACAGACCTATTTGGACATGTTGCAAGGAGAAGGACCTCATGCTTGGGAGGGTGGAGGGACGGTGCAGGAGAGGAAGACCCTCTATAAGGTGGATTGATTCCGTGACTGGGGTAATGGGGGTAGGTGTGTTGGAGACAGTGAGACTGGCACAGGACAGAGCAGAGTTTAGGGTTGTTGTACACAGGGTCACTATGAGTCACAGGCAAATCGATGCAATGTAGGAACAACAACTAGTTGAGTGTGGAGGACACCCTAAGATTATGGCCCTGAGTTATTCTTCCTACCTAGAACTAAAACTAACCCCTAAGGTCACTCTATAGCTACAAAACAATTCAGGTCAAAAATAATGACTGTTATCCACAAGTTTGTTTTCCTTTTTTTAAATAATTACCTAATAGCAAAGAGTTGGAAACAACCTAAGTGCCCATCAACAAACGAATGGATAGAGAAGCTATGGTATATTCACACAATGGAATACTACACTGCATTGAAAAACAAGGAACTCATGCAATATTATTCAAAATGGGTGGCCCTGGAGGACATTATGCTGAGTGAAATATCTCAGTCACAAAAGGACAAATACTGCATAGTGCCACTGTTGTAAAATGGGACTGACATCAGGGTTGGGGTGACTGAGAAAAATTAGATAAATTATATTTACTGCATTGAAACAAATGAGGGAGAGAACAGTTTAAAAGAGATACATGATAGGGTATTATGACTATGACAAGAGTCAAGAATGAAGGCTGCATAGTGGAGTGTATGGGGTGTGGGCCAGATTGTATACTAATGAAAAAATTTTTCTTTTACTTTTCAAAGAGAAGAGTGTACTGGAGGGAGGGGTGGGCAGAGAGAAAAATGCAACAGTGAATGAATGGAAATCCAAAGTCTCTGTAAATGTTCTTTAAAATTAATAAAATTTTAAAAATTTTGAAAAATCACCTAAAGGTCATCAATAGTCAACAATTATTTTAAAACGAAGATGAGACTGTAAGGAGGGAGGTGAGATGTAGGAAAGTGAGAGAACCAGAAAGGAGATAACGAGAACGTTCGTGCATCATGAAGAATGAGGGAACTGACCAACCTGGGTAGGACTTGTCGAGTGGGAGTCTAAACTGCTGTGTAAACCTCTGTGGAAAACAGAAGCCATAGTCTTAATAGAGAAGAGAAAGCCTTGGGGTTTCATGACCTTTAGCGCATGCAGTTAACAGTCTTTGGCACTGACAGACACACCCTGGGTTGGTCCTGGACCACTGCCCTGGGGACAGATCCCCTGCAGACTGCCTGAGTGTCCTGTCCTCTGGCTGGAACAGACTTGTGACTCCTCATTTCCTCCGTCCCGTCATCTGCTGGAGTCATTTACCCTTCTTGATGAGTCTCGCATCCACACCTCCTAAACCCCAGCACTTCAAAATTTAGCCTTGAAGAAAACACTGTGAACAATACTCATTCACAAAGAGAGATGATGTTCTAATACATGTTATGACATAGATGAACCTTGAAAATGATGTGCTGAAAAAAGCCAGACACAGACACACACACACACACACTCCCCCTCATAAATATTTTACGGTGCCACATTCGTGAGAAGCCGGGACAGGCAGCTGCATAGAGACTGGAAGCAGATCAGTGGTTGTTGGGGTGGGCGGGGTGGGGCAGGGCTGGGAGTGACCACATCCCCGGCCCAAAGTTGCAGTTGGGGTGATGACAAAGTTTTAGAAATAAATAGTGATGACAAGTGCACATTTAAATTAATGCATCTGAAGTGTACTCTTAAAAATGATTAAGATGACAAATTTTATGTTTAACCACCTTATTAAAAAAATAGTTAGGTAATCTCAAACAAGACAAAACAAAACATTTACAAGCAATAACTCATTACGAGAAGGCAGTAGCTCCCCCCCCCAAAAAAAGAGGTAGCTCAATGAGGAA